CAAGTGCCGTCCGTCCATGTCAACAACAACAAACAGCAACTGCAGCATAAAACTGTTAAAATTTGTCGAAAATCTAATTAAATTAGCTAGCAAGAGGTAAATACGTAAACGGAGAAGTAAATGTCAATTTTTCAGGGGGATTAGATGGTGTATTAGGGGATTTTTAGGGAGAGTAAACGTTTCTGTTTAGACAGATGGAAATATTCGTAATCGCTGATATCCTTATGATATACATCTTTACTTTGGTTCCAATTAAATTCGTTATAATAACCTCTACAGAGGGACCGCTCTCTGGAGAACTTTCTTAATCGAAATCTGTGTATGTAATTATGAAGCGAGGCCTGGCGCCTGGCAGACATCCTGCCAACCCGTTGCACATTGGCAAACCATTTGCCACAGCATTACTCTGAACGATATCATTTGAATGAACGAATTAAATGTGCGAGTGGACTTCAAAAACAGGTCTGAATCTGTATCCATGCCAATGAGCAATTGCGACATGCTCACACGCACATTTCCATTATCTAGTTGGATTCGGCCGAAACGGGACCCCATGTGGCTCTTGATGGCATTGTTTACAGGAGCAAACCATCAGAATTTGAACATATTACTGATGAAAATCGGTATGACCACCTTTCTACTCTTCGTCGTTCCTGATACAGGCATGTAATACCTTCCAAAGATGATGAAACCCAAACGAAAGATGGTTCTATCAAAGTTTCCGACTTGTGTAGCCCAATGAGTTACTTTTAGTGCTGTGCCCTATCACTATTACTGGCTATTCTGTTAATTATTCTGCAAAAAGACATATGTATTCTGTTTGGTAAATCAATGAAAACCGAGGAATAAACAAAAGAAAGATGCTCTAGCCAACAATTACTCGTACAACAAGTATAAAGAAGGGTACAATAATCGGGCTTGATAGTTGGCCACGTCTCGAACGCCCACAAAGCACCCACACACACACACAGGCAGACACCCAACAAGGTGTGCAAGCACTAGAGTGGAGAGAGGGGAGACGGGGAGGCGGTCTGGCAGGAGGAAGTATCGGAACAGCAGGGCGGCTGCCAACTTTATTTAACTGTTTGCCAAGCTGTCAAGCGCCAGCTAACTGCCAACACACACACACACACACTCCCACGCGGACACACACACACTGAGAAGAGCACAACAGGCTTCCAGGTGATCCTGGTATTGGTTTCGGTTTTGGCTAGTGGTTTGTGAGGGGGGGCGGGGCAAAGTGTACAAGAAGATAGAGACTCGGGAACAGCGGCTGGGTGGATGGATGGGTGGATGAGTGGGTGGCAGTGCAAAGCCAAAAAGGAAACGCGGTACATTTGCGCTCAACGTGTTTGCCTTTTGGAACGTTTCACGCTTCGATTGCAGTGCAGGCAAAGGGAGAAAGCAACGGTTCAAACACAAGGGAGAGGAGGAAATAGTAAGGGGTAGTAAACATGCAGCAGGCTTTGGGTTCCGCTGCACTTGATACCCTAGCAAATTGATTGTTCATTCGATTTTGATCAGTTTTGGTTGAGATCTGATCGTTTCACATGAGGCCTAGGCAGATCTAGGCAAAGCAAAATCCACACCCAAGCTTTATGGCATCGGAAATGTCTTTCCATGGTCTTTATATCCTTTTCAGGGGTATAAAAAAACAGCACATTCGTTTTAATCTTACTGCCACGAACGAGAGCAAAGATGGGGGGCGGCAGGCGGTATAAAAATACAAAAAAAGCCAACAAACTGCAGACCAACATCAAGCATATCATAGCAAGGGGGGAGCCACCATGGAGATATCTCTCTGTGGGTGTGTGTGTGTGTGTGTGGTATTGCAAAAATTAAATTTTAAATATTTATAAACTACGGCCTGTACAGAAGGAGTGTTGGATGGGCGGAGGGACTCGTAGGCAAGGAGGAGACGGGCTCTCCAATAAAAGGAATTTGCAATTGGTCTGATTGGCTTTTAATCGCAGCAGACAGTTTTTAATAAATATGCATAACCGTTTGCCATTCCAATTTGAATTGAAATACAGTGAAGGCTGCATTCCGTGGAAGGATCTCCTACGATGGGAACACAGAGACAGAGATCCTCATCCCCCAAGGGCTTAACCGAAGAAAATATCAAGATCCATCGATTCCCTCTCGATTCTTGCATTCCCAGGTCAAACTTCAAGAGATACAAATTTTCCCCTAAGGGGAGCTTCAACTGTAGCCCCCACCATGAGACCCAGAGACCCTGAGACCAGATTCATTGAAGTGGGCGCTGGCTCAGCTTCTTGCGGAAACGGATGCTGCACCACAGCGTAGCGGAAGACGAGAGCCGAAAGAATCGAGGGAAATTTATGATTTTGCCATAAAATCCTGTTGATATGTGGGTCCGGGCCAGGAAGCGCCTTGCTCCGTCCCCCCGTACCCACTTCACTCACCTCACAGCTGTTACTTATGCGCATATGTGGCACGTAGCACACACACAGACATGCATAGCAGACATCCTGCCTCCCCGTGGCACATTGTGTTGCACATTGGATGCGAGTCCGGGTCCGGGGTCCGGGGTCTGGGGTCTGGACTCCTCCCCCCCCCCCCCCCCCGTAAGAAATGCAATCGGGCAAACGGCAATTCCGTAAATCGAAGGAGAAATTTTTAGCCACATCAACATCCAAGGAGCGAGCTCCTCCCTGCATCGTAGGCAGGCAATCAAACATGCCTGCGATACAGGAAATACTCCGACTACCGAAACAGTTGTTGACTGTTTTCTGGCATCGATCTCATCATCATCAGCATCAGCATCACCAGCATCATCATCGCCCTGCACAAGAACTCGTCGTCATCGTCATCGTCATCGTCACTTTATGGTGCTGTTTTGTCGCATCGACTGAGCTCATAAGCAGCCGCGCCACTCGTCATGCGAGTATGCATGCCAGAATCGCTGGGATGCTGATGTACACTGAGAGAAATTCACAGAATTTTGTCTTTACACTGAGAGGTATTTGGTGGGGAACACACATTTTTGAACAGCTGGTTGAAAATAAAACGTAATTCCAGGAACACAGAGAGCAATTTTTGAGATTGAAATTTTAAAATGAAGTTTCTGGTTTAAAAAAAAATTTAAATAAAATAATTGAATAAAATAAAAAATTTAAAAAAGGTTATTAAATAATAATAATATAAAAATTAAATAATAAAAATAGAAAATCAAAAGAATAAAAACAAAATAAAAAATTAAACATTATAAATAAACAAACAAAAACAATATAAATAAACAAAAAAGAAATAAAAAAATAATACAAATAAAAAAATTAATAATAAAAATAAAAAAATAATAAGAATCATAAAAAATAAATAAGTAAAATAAATTAATACAAATAAATAAATGAAAAGAAAACCCAAAATACTCACACAACAAAAAAAACAATAAAATAATAAAAGAAGGAAAACAAATTGATACAAATAAATAAAATAAAAAACCAAAATAATTAATTACATTTAAATTCATAATAAAATAAATGAATCAAGCTTACAAACCTTTTTAGTCAAAGAAATAGAATAAAAAATTAAATAACAAAAATTAACAAATAAAAAAAGTATAAAAACAAAACTAAAATATATAATAAATAAGTTAAATAAATTAACACAAATAAATAAATGAAAAGAAAAACCAAAATAATCACATTTAAATTGATAATCAAATAAATCAATCAAGCTAAAATAATAAAAATAAACAATAAAATAATAAAAAATACAAAAATATTAATACAAATAAATTTAAAAAAAGACAACAAAATAGTTACATATAAATTCATAATAAAACAAATCAATAAAGTCTAAGAACATTTTTAGTATTTTAAAATATATATATTTAATAATTTAATAAATCAATAATTTTGTGACTAGTGCCTTGAATACAAGTAATTCTTGTAGCACTAGGAGACAAAAAAAAATATATATATATTCTCTTTATTAATTTGCTGCAAAAATGGGGACTTAAAGTTAACCTCTTAAAAGTATTTAAAAAACATGCAAAACTTCCTTTTGCAACTTCTAAAAAACTTTACAAAGATTGTCCATTCCCCAACCAATAAAGACTTTTGGGTATCGTCTTTATGGAAAAATCCTTTGGTCATTTATTGAAATATTTTGCAAAAGTTATCTACCGCTTTTAGCAGTGCATGGGGGGCAGGGGGGGGGCTCGCTTGAATGGTCTGCGGCAAAAGGCTTGTTTATTTGCTGACAAAATTGTGAAATAATGTGCTGCAATCAATTCGCAATACATGCACTCTGACCCCGCAACCCGCCCGCCCCAGTGAGGCGCGGCAACGTTTGTGGAAATGGCAGGCGGGGGGGCAGGGGGAGGGTGAAAAAATTGTGTGCAGTGAAGTGTTTTGAAGTGGCAGCTGCCACAGAACGAACTCCAACTGCAACTGCAACGGCAGGCAGCTCCCAGTGGCCCACTCTGGCGCTCTTTTCCACTGTCAGAGGTAGCATGTTTCTGATGAATATGTTTACATCAATAACAAAAACTCCGGTTCAGAGCATCAATAATGAAGCGTTGCTCTGACTCCACTCGACTCCGATTGGATCTACTGTGCCATCCCCAGCCAGGGACACGTCAAAATGAGTTTACTTTGTGGTCGGTAGTCGGTCTGATGAGCTCATCGAGTATCGAAGCATCGAGAATGGAGTACAGAGCACACACTAGACGGAGTGCTTGACATCCTGCAGCCAAACAGCAAGGATTATTGAGGGAACTGCAATAAAGGAGCGCCGAGTACTGGGTAATTTGAAAGTGATTCTGATTCGGAAGGGAGGGAATCGGTTTCTAATTTATGAAATGTATTCCCATGAGGAACTGTTAATCGAAACTCTGAAAATACTCGAAAAATGTAAAACAAACAAAATGGGGAAGAAAGGGAGCCACGGTTTCTCCAATCACCTTTCAGTAGTCAACACAAAAAACAAACAGTCTCACAATAGGACTCGCATCGAAACAATATAGAATATCTGAAACACACAATTTATTTTACAAACGGAAAAAATTTCTCCACAGAATATAAAAAATGAATCCTGAGGACGTGAAGGGTATTTTGAAGGTCGGCAGCAGCGGGGCCGCCAGCCAGCCGCCAGCAGCGGGCCAGAAGACGGCCAAGTTCGATGAGCTAAATGTGCTGGAGACCTTCCATCCGGAGGGCAAGACCTACGGACACATGGTCATTGACGAGCCGAAGACCCCGTTCGTGTTTGAGAGCGACCTGCCCAAGGAACTGGACACCGCTGAACTGATAGAGAAGCTGCGCCGCACCTCGCTGCTGACGACGCCCTGCTTTGGCATGGACCAGGACTCCGATGACTCGTCGGACGATGAGGAATTCCCCGAGACCGTGGAGGAGAAGGTGCGCCGCCTGGAGTTCGAGCGCCGCCGCAAGCTGCACTACAGGGAGTTCTTCTCGGTGCCGCTGGCCCGTCGCCTGATTGCCGAAGAGTTCGGCGACATGTCCGACTCGGAGCACAGCTACAAGTCCGAGACGAGTGCTTGCGTGCCCGAGACTTGCCCGAAGGACACGTACGACACCATGATGGGGGAAGACGACCAGGCTCGCACTTCGCACTCGTTGGCCGACGCCGGATCCGAGGACGGCGGGTATTACATCGAGCCCGAGCCGGGCTTTGATCCCAGCCATCCGTGCTACCAGAAGTTGATGGCCGAAATCAAGCGTCCAGCCAACGCCGAGTCCGACAAGGCTCTCGATACTGCCTCGCACGGCAAGCCTGTCCGTGTGCCAGATCCCTCGTCCGAGACCGATCTCAGCGCCGAACTGAAGAAGAGCCAATCGGGCAGCACAATATAAAGAGAGGTTAAAGATGTTTGCGCCTTTTCGCTTGATTTGTTAAAATTCTCATGTTATTTACACAAATTAATCAGCAGCTCATAAAATCTATTGTAAGTTCGGGTTTTATTTATGGAAGATGGAACATTTTGTAGGCCAAGAACCCATGACAGGTGCTCCCCTCCCGAAGACATTGTCAACCCATCAATGGAAAGGTCCTTCGCCCCGAATCCACCCTCAAATAAGCGGCTTAAGCCCATACCTTGGGGCGGGCTAATTGTTGTGATGCTGATATGATTGGACCTCCACTGGCACTCTCTTCCTGTCCAACTTCGTTTGGCTGGTGGAATATTTAATTACGCCTTGACCTGCCCGTAATTACCATTAGCCAGATACAGATACTGGCAGGCCCGGCCCTAACGATGGCACTCGGCCAAAGTTTTGGCTAATAACTTATTTCGGCATTTTGTTTTGTAATTGAAAATTCCTTTTGGCAGGCCCAACTCAGGCCTGAGTTTTCCTTCCGGCCTATCGCCAGGCGATTGTTTTGAAACAAATTCATTGTGATTTACTTCGCAGTGCCATTGGAGGGAGCTGGGCTGGGCTGGAAACAGATTGTCGGCATTTAAGAAAATGCCTGGGATATTACACCTGAAAATCATTTGAAATAATTATGCAAAATGTTTAATGTATCCGCAAAATGTTCAAGGCATTTTCGGTTTTATTATTATTCAGCTTTGGCCAATTCATTTGCAAATGAAAGAACAACACAGTTCTGGCCAAGGATTGCCAGGGTGATGAGCGGAAAGTGTCATGAATATTTATAGGGGTAATGTTATCATTGAATAGATTTCAATTAGATTTATTTGCGAACACTTCTCTGTGCGTGCGGGTGCGGAGAAATGTTGGTGCAGGAAATTGACCTTGCTCAAAGGCAACAAAAGTAATATAAATATCCAGCAAAGTCAACGGAAATGAAGACACAGATTGTATATACTGTAGAAGGGTTTGTTATCACAAGCTATGTAGGTCATAGGTCAAAGATTCAACAAAGTTCGACAAGTATTGGGCTTTAATTATGCAATTTTAAGGTAGGAATATACATGGAAGCAATGATGAACATTGGCATCTCTGGAAAGAAATATTCAATGCCAGATCTTGTCAACAAAGTAGTCATTTGGAAGCAACAATGCCGATGATCAGCACTTTCGGATGAGCGAAACATTCAGTTCGCTTCAACAACGTTCTCATTTGAAAGCATCAATTGAACTTGCGAATAGACTACAGAAACAGGCTTTAATTTGGATCTTTGCCGATAATCAGCACTTTCGAATGAGCGAAAAATTCAATGCCGCATCTATTCAACGATCATTCTCTTATAGAATCATTAATTTAATATGCTAATGGACTTCAGAAACAGTTTTGTATCCAAGTCCAAGCCGAAGAGGCGATCAGCACTTTCGGATGAGCGAAAAATTCAATATTTGCCTCTCACTCGAATGGGATACGAAGAAACGAAGCGGAGGTTGATGATTTCGATTACGACCTGCTCACACGCACATTTTCGTGATCTTGTTGGTTTCGTTCGTCGGTTCTTTCTGCTCTCCTCTTGCCACCGACAAGACAAGGCGCCAGCACACGGCTAAGATGGAAAAACGAATATCCAAATTGTTGCTGTTATTAATTGCATATTGGCCACGTTTGACAAGGCTTTTAAGTGCATTTAAACCGAAAAACACTTAAAATGGATAAACAACATGGCGGCCACTTAACCCCCCCAAGAATGCAGGGCGGAAAGCCTTTAATGCGAAGTTGCCATTTGGCCAGGACCTGAACGATGGGCGAAATGAAATTTAAGTTGGCTCCAATGGATGGCCCAGACAACGCAAACGTAAACGCAGACGCAGACGCAAAATCCGACCTCGAGCAGTGAAATGCCGCAGCATCTTTGTCCCCATCTGGGTCGCCGGCATCCATCTCCGGCTCCGGGCCGGGCCTGTCTCCTGCTAGGCTTCCGTTTTCAGTCTCCGTAACAATTGCCGTGTACATTTCATTAAGTGCATAAGCCCGTCCGGCTGTCAGCGCTCCTCTGCCCCTGCTCCTCTGCTCCTCCTGTTCGTGTGGAGCGTTTTTAAGCCGGAAAATTATTTTTAATGCTATTTACAGGCACAAATGAAAATGCAAGCGCAAATAAAGGCCGCCAACAGTCACGAACTGGCCAACAACTTAACTGGCATAAATGCCGACTGTCCGAAACAGAACAACAATAAGGACTGCAGGACCAAGGACTAAGGAGTGTAGCAACCAAAGGATACCCATTACAATGGATCCTGGAGCCCATAGATAGGGAACAATGGCCAGTGTAGCCTGGCAGGTGTATCTATACCCTCTCGAAAGAAACCACGAGGTAATAAAGCACAAGAATACGAAAAAGAAAAGCAAGACAAAGGCAAGGCATAAGGAATGCTTTAAAGCTGGTGCTCGGACCTCAACCCGAACGCGTGTCACTAAAAAAAGTTGGTCTAAATATTTGCGAAAGAATTTCCGCTATTTGCGATGGTATTTCGTGTGGCATGAAGCACCAGCTCCAGGTCCTGTTGCAGCCACGGCACGCAAGGCCCCCCCGTGGGAGACAGCAGCGGTTTAAGCGTGTGCTGGGCCACTTGAGTTGCATTTGCTTCGTGTGGCATCAATTTTCATTTTGATAAATTATAAAATGCCCAAGCGATGGCGCAGGACACAGCCTCGTCCCCGTGTCTCCCCCCCGCCCGCCAGACAGCCAAATGGATTGCCTTGGCCCGGCCAGCGTTAACCCATTGAGCGGCCTGGGGATCGCTTGCCTGGGAAAAGTGATGCAAGTCGCAGAATGGATGCTATTATCAATCATAGTAAATGGAAACGTTTCTAAGCCACTTTCGAACCGTTTAAGAGAATTGTTATGACTTACCTAAGGACATATTTTCAATCGTTGAATGTGAAGCTATCCAAGATCTATAAAAACAAAATGGAGTGAGTAAAATATGTGGAACAAGATGGGTTTTCGGAAGAGAGTTATTCATTCACAGAGGAATTAGGAGTAAAAACAGCCTGTTATAATGTTAATCCTCTTTACAGATCGATCATTTCTGCCTGCCCGACTCCTGAATGTCTCATTTACCCCACTCTCAATGGGTTAATGTGCCGATCAGTGCATCAGGGCTAGCAGCGCGTGGCAGCATCATTAGGAGTCCTCCCTCTGCCACCGTTGCAACGCTCCGCGTCATGTAAATGCAGAGTCGCAAGTGTGGCAAGCTAGTGACATTGTTTAATTGATTGCCACTCGTCTGGGGTCTAGCGCTCGTGTGTGTGCCCCTCCCCCCCACGGGCCTGGAGGGAAAAGCTAATAAAGATTTATGTAGCTCTAAGTTTGTTGATTTTCCCGAGTGTCCGGGTCCGGGTCCAAGTCCAAGGCACCTGGTTAAACAACGGCTTTTGGGGTGGGTCAGTGTTCTGCGGTCTGGGGTCAGGGTCACGCACAGGTCACCCCTTTTTTTTCGGTTAGCTGAACTCTCTATCGCCTGAACAAATATGAAAATGCACGCAGGACAAAATCGAGCACGTAGCACCTAGGATAAGGTCCAGACTGGTTCCATGCTTGTGTTTATTTGTAATCAATTAACGGATAAGGTAATCTATTAGCGAGCCAGCTGTCCCCGTTTCAGGATACAGGACCCAATGGCGTGACTTGTTTGGTTAATTCATGGCAGCTGAAGGAAGTTTTTCTCCCTCTCCCTCCCTCTCTCTCTGTCTCTGGAAAATTATTTCCAATTGCAGCACGCATGAATATTTTAATGTTTTGGCATAAATTATGGGGAAATTGATTGGAAACGATGAATATGAATGAGTGAGCACTGAAATGATGTACAATATTTCAGTTTGTCTAATATAAGCTTTAACCATATCGAGATGTTTTAAGAGATACTTAAAAGAGGGGCCTCTGGCATACAAAAGTACAAGGAATCATCGTAAAAATGTTGTCCTTTGGCTTTTCACAGTAACAATATATATTCTTTTTATTTATGAATCACCCTTTGATTAAATAAAGATTATACATTTCATCGCCAATTGCATCGATCGAAGTGTGTGATGCCTTTGACATTCTGCGGACTTTTTTAATGATTAGTACCTTTTTTTATTATTTTTTTAAATTTATTTATTGGGAACTAATGCCACTAAAGAACTAACTTCTAAAAATATAACCATTACACACAACAAATATTTTTTTTTAAACCAGAAAGTTGAAAATTGATTAAAAATTTTAGAAAACTTCCACTGTGGGTCGCTATATCTTCAGGTATTTCTACTCCATCGACACGCATCAAAAATCATGTGAAAAGCCGTACAATCTTCTCTGTAATCTATTGGTTTCTGGGGATACACCCGCTTCAGATGCTGAATAAAAATTGTGAAATTGCGGAAACACACTAAATAGTTTTTTTTTAAATTAAAAAAGATTTTGGGGCATAATCTACTCATTCTATTTTTTGCCTCGTGCCTAGACCAAAGTGACTGTCCCACAATCGAATTATTTATTTATTTTACAGGACATTTATTTATTTTATTTATTTATTGAATATATTTTATTTTATTTATTTTATATAATTGTGCATAATTATTTTCGTTATTTAGTTTAAAGGACATTTATTTATTTCATATTTAATATTTATTTGATGAATATAATTTATTTTATATTTACTATTTCTTTTATTTTTATTTATTAAATATATTTTATTTTATTTATTTTATATAATTGTGCATAATTATTTTTGTTTTATATTTACTATTTATTTTATATTTATTCGATGAATACATTTTCTTAAATGTATTTCATATAATTCTGTCTAATTCTGTCTGTCTACCCTCTTTAACAGGGACCTTTTACCCTTTAAAAACCAAGTTTTGTTGTCTCTGCTGCTGCTAGCACCTATCTGCTTGTGTTTGTTAAATAACCCTGGTATATCTGTGTAAAAGTGTGCTTATAGCCAAACATCCTTCATGTGCTTCCCCCCCGCACTGTCACTGTCGACTGCCTACTTAGCGCAAATGATATTTCCTCTGCCGCAGTGTCCACAATTTATAACGAATGAAACAAAGTTTTCCCCGCTCACTGCCGACTGTCTTTCCGAGAATCCTTTCCTGCCTGTTGGGTTGGGGGAATGGGGGAGGACACTCCGTGTGGCTGCATCTTTATGCGCATATGTAAACATTTCCTGGCTACAAGAAGTGCAAAAATCCCATGGCTAAACTACTTTGGCTTAACACGGCCTCAACTTTTCCGAAAAGTTGCTAAAGTTTTTGCAGCCCCGCAGTAGATACACACACACACACACACACACACACACACACATCTGCAGTTGTATCTAAGTATCTAAAATGGTGTTATAATTCACAACTTGAACCGGATCTGAGAGCGGCAAAACTTTCACTTGACGGAATGCCGAAATTAAATTAAACAAAGTCAAACCACACACAATGTTGGACATTTGTATAAAGCTGTGAAGAGTATTTCGAGGGGTTTCATCGGTGCGATTAACCGATAAGTATGGGGTCTTTATTCATTTTTGTGTTTGATAGATGTTCGGAGGTTTCTAGGGATGGGATCATCGTTGTTCCACGTCGTTTTCTGGGGATGGGATCATCGTTGCTGCTTGTCGTTTTCTAGGGATGGGATCATCGTTGCTGCTTGTCGTTTTCTAGGGATGGAATCATCGTTGAATGCTCGTCGTTGTCTAGGGATGGGATCATCGTTGAGCGCTCGTCGTTGTCTAGGGATGGGATCATCGTTGAGCGCTCGTCGTTGTCTAGGGATGGGATCATCGTTGAGCGCTCATCGTTTTCTATGGATGGAATCTTCGTTGTTACTCGTCGTTTTCTAGGGATGGAATCATCAAGTAGCTCCAAAATGAATGAGTAACTCTTTCAAAAGTCCATGGCCTTCGACTTACGAGAGGTCTATACATTCTCTGTCCTTCGACCACCAAATACTAATTCCATTCCCACCGATTGGCAATCTGCCAGTCACGTGTAAGCGTTAATTCAATTAATATCATTTTTTGAACGTTGCTCGAAAGTCGATTGCCTCGACTTGTTTATAAACGCTTTTAACTTTTCATAACGTCCATCGAATAGTTTTTTGCCATCGATTTGCTTACTTTGGTTTCGATTTGGCTTCGAGTGTAATATAGAAAAAAACCGCTCGGCTTTTGTTGTGTCGATTGTCGATTGGAAAATGGAAAAATGGAAAAACGGCAGGCGGAGGAGTCCTTTGAAACTGGATACGGGCTAAAAGGGATAGAGAGGTACGAGTGTTTGCCCAACAAAGCTGGACAAAAAACAAAAACAACAAAAAATTGAATGAAAATACTTTCATTTTGGCATTATTCTACAATATTTGAATTTCTCTTCAGCACAAACCATTGACTGACTGACCGGAGCAGGCCATAGATTGGATTTGTTTTTCACTTTTTCGCTCTCTTTGCTTTCTCCTTTTTTTTTTGTTTTTTTTTTTTTTGTGATACGTAAACTACACTTCCAGTATGGGAAGAATTTTTGCAAACCAAAAATTCCTGGCCGCCAGGACAACATTTGTTTGCACAGCTCTTCTCTGGAATCCCAACGAAACACCGAACACCGAACCCAGGAAAACAAAAAACAAAAAAAAAACGCCAGAAAGGAGAGACATATTATATAGACAAAAACCTGACCATTCACAGGGAGTGGCAATAATTTAAAGTATGTTATGTCTGGTTTTTGCCTGCCTGTTTTTGCCATTAAATTTATGCACGAAACTCTAGAATAAATATGCATGCAAATTATTTGTTTTTAGCTGCCAAAAAGGTTATTGCACAGAAAATATTTTCATTGATTTTATGGCGTTAAAAATTCAATTTTTACCTGACAAACGACCATCTATCAGAATTTTCCAACCAACTATTTTTCACATTTCAAGGGGGAAAAATTAAACTTGTGATGCGAGGGGAAAAATTCCAGAAAAAAGGTACAAATTTAATGCCAAATCTTACAAAAGAAAAAAACTATAAATGGTATTCTGCCATTCTACGAAAAGCCGCAGTTGTGCACTCACCTACGAGTGAAAAATTTGATTGAATTTCCGACTATTTTCGGCACTCTCAGCCAGAAAACAGAAGAGCAAAAAACTAAAACTCACTACCACAGCGCCACAAGGGGGTGGTGTACGGATCCGGCTGCGGGTCCGGGGTCCTCATCCTGCCTGTCCGGCGGAGACTTAACAGCTCTGCAGCTGTCCGTCTGTTAGAGTGAGGTTCCATTCGCTTGTGTGTGTCGTTTAGATTTAGTGCCGCTTGTTACGCTTTGATGTCATGTCATTTATAAGCGCCACAGCGCCCTGACCTCCATCCCGGGCGCACCCAAAACCCCCCACAACGCTGCGTGCCGTGTGATGCCTCAAAATGCAACAAAATGCAAACTGACATTTTAGCCTGGGAACAACTTTAGAAAACTTAACATGACAGACCACGACAATGACGTTGACGAGCGTCAACCCGTCCGTCCCGCATGCGAAATGCGCAAAACTTAAAGCCGGAGGCGACCTTAAAGCTGGAATCAAACGTCACGTGCTACGCCCACCCCAACGAGCTACCCCCATGCCTTACAAAATGGCCGACCAGCTGAGTAATTTACGCACAATAATCCGCATCGCTGAACACTGCTTCCTTCGCTGGCCAGATGATTGATGTATGGACGTGTTAATTAGGTCCACTCGTGCCGCATTTACACTTGAGCCAGAGAAAAAAGCCGAGTCGAAGCAGTCGAACAAGAGAAAGAAAACGGTGGGGGAATTGTAAGCCACATTTAGACTAGATGATACCCTACACGGCCCCAAACGAGGGAGAAGGAGTGCCAACTTTATCTCGTTTTTTGATCTGTAAATCGAAATAACATTTTTCAGATATTTAGATAGATTTAAACAATTAAAAATCTACCAAAAGGGGGCCCTATATCACGGGCGTTTATAGGGAATACCAAGGTATTTCTGGCAATAAGCTTAAAATATAATAAAATATTTAAGGGTTGGAAGTAATACCATCTTGATTCCACTGGGGCAAATAAGCTATGAGATCTATGAAAAAAAATATGTAAGAAATGCCTATAAGGGAATATCCATCTACAATAAAGAGTGCAAACCCTCCCTGGACGAACACCTTCCTAGATCAGACGAGTGCCAGTCCAAGCCTATTTCTATGCACGTCTTTGTCCCATACCTATCTTCCATCGTCCTCAGGCGGACTCCACACTACCCGTTACAAACGTCTACAGAAAGACATTACACCCCTCGTTCTCTGCCAGTACTGGGTATAATTAAAGTGAGCGAAAGCGAAAACGAAAGCAATAAAAATCTAAGCAAACGAGTAAGAAACTTTTGAAGAATTGATTGATTTCTCCGGCACAAGTACATTAATCAGGGCCACAAAAATGCTGATTTGATTGAAGTCACAGCAGAATCCGAGACCGTAACCGAAGCAGGCAAAAGTTTTTTTTTTTTTTTGGCAAAAAAGGCTTTTGATTACCAGTTAACCAGTGTTGGACAAGCACTTTTTTTTGGCAAATTCAATTTATTTCAAGTTGTGCTCTATAGAAAAAAAAGAGAGGCAAAAAAAATGCAAAAGTTGAAGAAGGAGAAGTCAGAGAAGAGGCAGAGGCAGAGGCAGAAAATGTGCAAGCTGTTCACTAAATCAAAAACAGATTTCGGTAACAAATTTGTTATGCACGTGACATGTCCAAACAATGCATGTGAGTACATGTGTGAGTGGGTGTGTCTGTGTGTGTGTGTGTGTGTGGTCGCCTAAAAGAAAATTTGAATAAGTGAATTTAAAAAGCGTTGGCGGCAACGGCAACGGCGACGGCGACTACAACGACGAAAAGGCGGCAAAAAACCTCCAACAAAAGTCAAACAACAACAAGCGCAAAGTGCAGCAAAAAAATATATAAGTACACTAGCTCAAAGCAGTCTATGGACCACAAGATACCTCGCTTTTACAAGGGCATAATGGGGGAGACTTTTTTCAGTTACTTTTTTGTATGCTATATTTTCCCATCCATTTTTCGCTTGCAGTGAGTGACAAACGCTTTTTCATGTCCGTTACATCTACTCTGATACTCTCCAAATACTGTGTAAAAAGGGGGGAGCAAAAAAATACAAAAATTGTGTTCTCATAGCAAAGCCAAGGACACTTTCATGAAATGCAATTTCGCACTTGTAAACTTTTATGGCTGCTTGTGTGTGTGCGGGTCAGAGATGCTGTGCCGCAGAGCGGTTTAAAGGCTGGATTTTGTAGCTAAAAATAAGGGGAAAATGAAGAGAAAGGCTAGAGAATGACTGGAATATTCCAAGTGTCTTAAAGGACAGATTAGTAGCTTCGAAAACAGATTATTTCCAAGTAATATTATTATATTTTGGTGGTAGTTTATTTTCATTTAATTAATCAACAGCGAATAAGGGTATGCTTGCAATATTGGCTATCCAGCACTGTTGATGGCTTGCCAGCACTGCTGATGGTTAGCCAACACTGCTTATGGCTCACCAACACTGTTGAAAGTCAACCAACACTGCTTATGGCTAGCCAACACTGTTGATAGTTAGCCAGCACTACTTATGGTTACCCAGCACTGCTGATGGTTAGCCAGCACTGTTGATGGCTTACCAACACTGTTGAAGGTCAGCCAGCACTGCTGATGGTTGGCCAACACTACTGATGGTTACCCAGCACTATTGATGGTTACCCAGCCCTGTTGATGGTTGGCCAACACTGCTAATGGTTACCCAGCACTTCTAATGGTTACCCAGCACTACTGATGGTTAGCCAACACAGTTGATGCTTAGCCAGCCCTGTTGATGGTTGGCCAACACTGTTGATGCTTTCACATGGCACACAGTTTGCCTTTATATGGCTACAATATGTGAACAGCTGGGCAGCCTCAGTGCTCCACTCCACGCCACTCCACTCGACTTCCTGCCTTTCACACTCCACACCAGTATCCGTACTTCCCTTCTATCAGCAACATGCAAATCTGACTGTTGATGGCGCATTTTGCACCGCCGGGTTTTCATTTTTCTACCCCCCCTACGCCGCCGCCCCTTTTTGTATATGTTTTTTTTTTGTGTATTTTGCTGACTTTTTCGGGTGTGTAACTTGTTTATTTGTATGTCGTTGGGTTTCATTTGCGCCTTGCCTAGGCTCAAAAAGGTATTCGTAGTCGTCTCTTTTATATTTGCACACTTTGGCTAATGGATTTCTTTCGCTCCCGCACCTACTCTATCTTTTTAGGATTCGTTTCGTACTCTGCGGTTGCACACGGCGTGTGCTTAATATTTGTTGTATGCCTCATTTGGCTAGCTTCGGTATTCGCTAGGTTTTTAATTTCTTGCTTTTTCCACTCCAAGGCCTGGCCGAATGGCTGACTGGCTGGCCGCCTGGCTGGCATTTGCAGCGCGACTTAATTGAAAATTCAATTAGACCTGTGTAAATATTTTTTCGGGGCAGCTTCATCAGCAGTGGAAAACCCCTGGCGGCAGCTGCAAATTGAGTTAAAGTTGTTTATCTAAATAAGAATGAGTGCAGCAGCTAGCAGCAGGTCTGCTGGCCACCTTTCGCCTTCTGCGACTGCGACTGCGGCTGCGGCTGGGGCTGCCTCTGCATTTTAATTAGAGTTTAAATATCTCAGTGCAAATTGGAAACTTTATTCAACCGCAAAATGAAAGTGGCATCGCCATTCTCCAGTTCTCTGTGTTGGTCAAGCAACCCTATTTTGAATGCTGCAAAGTCAACAGCGTTGATTAAATAAATACATTTCGCTTTCAGTCGGGGCTTCGGAGAAAGTACAGGCAGATCGGGGTCACCTACTATGCAGAAGAATGTTTGGGTCACCAAAACTCTTTTGCGTAATTGGTAATTATGGTGTCTAGATCCAAGCATACTTTTGAAAGTCAGTACCTCTT